CGTCAAGTACCTTGAGTCTCATGCTCTGTGCCCTGAATTGCCACAGAGCCACTAGGATGCCAGTGTCTATAACTAGGTCCTCACTGTTGCTGTGCCAAGGTACACTAGCAAATAGGCCTCAGTGTCCAGGTGACCTAGCTAGATAAGTGCTTGTGTGCAGTAGGCCTTTGGTCTGGAAAAGGGCCATTCCCACTCCAGGCTGGTTGTGATTTTAGTCATCAGTGCTGGGATGCAGCTATTAGAGGCTCCCTCCAGCTGCTGTTTTATGACAAAAAAAAACAAAAAAAAAAAAACCAAACTCACTGCCACCAGGTAGAATCCTACTCATAGCGACCCCTCCTTGGATCTCTGAGGCGATATCTCTATGGAAGTAGATTGCCCTATCTTCCTACTGAGGAGTGCTGATGGGTTTGAACTGCCAGCCTTCTGGTTAGCAGTCAAATGCCTTGGGCACTATACCACCAGAGCTCAAGGAAGCCTTATATGCAGAGAAGGTTCTTAGCATGAAGCCCCTTGTGTCTCTTATGAAAACAGTTGGACAGCAGCTATCAAATGTAAAATCACTTAGTAACTCTACTTTTAGAAATGTATCATTTATCCACTCACCTAAAATTCATGGGCACTTAACAATGTGCCAGGCAGCTTTTGAAGCACTTGGTATGCAGGAGTATAAGAACAGAAACATAAATCTCTGTCCTGGAGGAGCTTATTTTCTGATGGAAATGAGAGATAATAATAAAAAACATAATAAATAGCTGATGTCTAGAGCTATACTGTTCAATACAGTAAATACATACTACTCACATGGAGCTATTTAAGTAAAATTTAAAATTCACTTCCAATTGTACACATGAACACTGTGTGGCAACTTTTTTGTTACCTGTACAGTTACCATGATTAAAAAAAAGAAAAAATTCAGTTCCTTGGTTGCACAAGGCACATTTCAAGTGCTGAATAGCTACACGGGGCTTTATTGTGAGGTGTCAATGAGTCGGTTCCAACTCATAGTGGCTGTATGTTCAAATGAGTGAAAAGCTGCCCAGTCCTGTGCCATCCTCACAATGCTTGCTATGTTTGAGCTCATTGTTACAGCTACGTTTCAATCCATCTCATTGAAAATCTCTTTTTTTGCTGATCCACTACTTTACTAAGCATAATGTCCTGCTCCAGGGACTGGCCCCTCCTGATAACTTTTCCTAAGTACATGAGACCAAGTCTTACCATCCTTGCTTCTAAAGAGCATTTCTGATGTACTTCTTCCAAGACTGTAGTATACCATGATTCTTCTGGCAGTGCGTGATACATTCAGTGTTCTTTGCCAACACCATAATTCAAAGGCCTCAGTTCTTCTGTAGTCTTCCTTATTCATTGTCCAGCTTTCCCACATATATGAGACAATTGAAAATAACATGGTTTGGGTCAGATGCAGCTTAGTGTTCAAAGTTACATCTTTGCTTGTTAACCTTTTAAAGAGATCGTTTGCAGCAGGTTTGCCCAGTGTGATACATCGTTTGGTTTCTTGACTGCTGCTTCCATGGACATGGATTGCCGATCCAAGTAAAATGAAATCCTTGACAACTTCAGTCTTTTCTCTGTTTATTATGATGTTATTATTGGTCCAGTTTTGAGGATTTTTGTTTTCTTTACGTTGAAGTGTAGTCTGTACCGAAGGCTGTAGTCTTTGATCTTCATCAGTATATGCTTCAAGTCATCTTCACTTTCAGCAAGTAAGGTTGTACCATATTGCAGGTTGTTAATGAGTCTTCCTCCAATCCTGATGCCACATCCTTTTCATATAGTTCAGCTTCTCAGATTATTTGCTCAGCATACAGATTGAATAAGTCTGGTGAAAGAGTACAACCCAGATGCACACCTTTCCTTATTTTAAATCATACAGTATGCCTTGTTCTGTTTGAAACAACTGCCTCTTGGGCTATGTATATAGGTTCCTCATGAGCACAATTAAGTGTTCCAGAATTCCCATTCTTTGCAATATTATCCATAATTTGTTATGATCTACATAGTCAAATGCCTTTGTGTAGTCAATAAAACACAGGTAAACATCTTTCTGGTATTCTCTGCTTTCAGCCATGATCCATCTGACATCAGCAATGATATCCTTCATCCTATGTCCTATTCTGAATCCAGCTTGAATTTCTGTCAATGTACTGCTGCAACCATTTTAAAATTATTTTCAGCAAAATTTTACTTGCACATTCTGTTGAATTTTACCTTTCTTTGGAATGGGCACATATATGGATCTCTTCAGTTAGCTGGCCAGGTAGCTCTCTTCTAAATTTCTTGACACAGACGAGTGAGCATGTCCAGTGTTAACATCCATTTGTTGAAACATCTCAATTGGCATTCCTTCTATTCCTGGAGGCTTGCTTTTTGCCAATGCCTTCAGTGCAAACTTGGACTTCTTCCTTCAGTACCATCAGTTCTTGATCATATGCTAACTCCTGAAATAGTTGAACATCATTCTTTTTGGTACAGTGTATTCCTTCCATCTTCTTTTGAGGCTTCCTGTGCCATTCAATATTTTGCCCATAGAAGGCTTTAGTATTGCAACTTGAGGCTTGATTTTTTTATCCTTCAGTTCTTTCAGCTTAAGAAATGTTGAGCATTATTTTCCTTTTTGGTCTTCTAACTCCAGGTCTTTGCACATTTCATATACTTTACTTTGGATTTTTGAGCCACCCTTTGAAATCTTCTGTTCAGCTCTTTTATGTCATCATTTCTTCCATTTGCTTTAGATTCTCTATGTTCAAGAGCAAGTTTCAGAGTCTTTTCTGGCATTTATTTTGGTCTTTTCTTTCTTTCCTGTCTTTTTAATGATCTTTTGCTTTCTTCCTATATGATATCCTCCCATAGTTCTTCTGGTCTTCAGTCATTAGTAGGGGTCAGTGTGTTAAATCTGTTCTTCAGATGGTCTCTAAAATCAGGTGGGATATACTCAAGGTCATACTTTGGCTCTCGTGGACTTATTTAATTTTCTTCAGCTTCAGTCTGAACTTGCATATGAGCAATTGATGGTCTGTTTCACAGTCTGCCCCTGGCCTTGTTCTGACTGATATTGAGTGTCTCCATCATATCTTTCCACAGATGTAGTCAATCTGATTTCTGTGCATTCCATCTGGCAAGGTCAGCTTGTATAGTCTTCATTTATGTTGTTGAAAAAAAGGTAACTGCAGTCAGTTAAGTCGTAGGTGTTGTGGAATTCTATCATGCAATCTCCAACATCATTTCTATCACCAAGGCCAAAATTTCCAATTACTGATCCTTCTTTGTTTCCAAATTTCACATTTCAATCAGCAGCAATTATCAATGCATCTTGATTGCATATTTGATGAATTTCTGACTACTTAAGTTGGCAAAAATTATGTTTCCTCATCTTTGGAATTAGTGGTTGTCCATAAATTTGAGTAATAGTTGCATTAACTGGTCTTCCTTATAGGCCTATGGATATTATCCTATTACTGATAGCATTGAACTTCAGGAAAATCTTGATGTGTTCTTTTTGACAATGAATGTGACGCCATTCCTCTTCAATTTGTCATTCCCAGCATAGTAGACCATATGATTGTCTGATTCATAATGGCCAAAAGCAATCCATTTCAGCCTACTATTTTGCCCATAGAATCCTTCAATATTGCAACTCGAGGCTTGAATTTTTTCTTCAGCTCTTTCAGCTTGAGAAATGCTAAGCATGTACTTCCCTTTTGGTTTTCTGACTCCAGGTCTTTACATGTTTCATTACAATACTTTTCTTCTCAAGTTGTCCTTTGAAATCTCCTGTTTATCTCTTTTACTTCATCATTTCTTCCTTTTACTTTAGCTACTCTACATTCAAGAGCAAATTTCAGAGTCTTTCTGATATCCATTTTGGTTTTTTCTTTCTTTCTTGTCTTTTTAATGACCTTTTAAAAGCTTTCTTCAAGTATGATGTCCTTGATGTAATCCCACAACTCGTCTGGTCTTCAGTCATTAGTGTTCAATGCATCCAATCCATTCTTGAGATGGTTTCCAAATTTAGACAGTGTTCTGATGCTAGCCGTAAGATTTTTACATGTGACTAGTCGCTGCCATATTGGACAGCATGGATATAGAACATTTCCATCATCACAGAAAGTTCTTTAGACACCACTAGTCTGGAATATTTTAGAAGGTAATATGTACAATGGAAAAAAATAGAGCAAGATTTAAATAAATAATAGTATGAGAGTGGGGCAGGGGCTACAATTTAAAATAGGGTAGTTTTGGTGCACCTAATTTAGAAGATAGCTTTTGAACAAAAACTTGAAGGAGGTAAGGGAGTGAGGCATGGAAATACCTGGCAGAAGAGCATCCCAGGCAGAGGGGACAGATAGTGCAGAGGTGGGAGTCAGATATGAGGAAGAGGACGCAGATAGATTTGGCTGGGTGGAGTGAGGGGAGGGAGCAGTAGGAAAGAGGTATGGGAGCAGATCACATAGAGCCTTGTAGATCACTATATTACAAATATCATTGTAACGTTGTTTGTAGCAGCAACATTTGGGGGTGACATATGTGACTACAGTGGGGAATAGTTTGAGAAATTATGTTGTCTTCATGCAATGGTTAGAAAGGATGAGGGTCAAGAGTATGTCCTGGGGGAAAGTATCCTGGAGGCAGTGGGCTACACTGAGAGTCATTGTCTTAATAGACTTAAAACAGCCTGGAGCCCCTTAGAATTGGGGTTCAGGGTGGCCCTGTGGGTGTTTGTGCTCACTCTGGTTCTCTGTCTCCTCTGCTGTAAGAGACAGGCTGTGGGACTACTGAGGCTCTTTCAGATGATAGACACACCCAAGTGGAGGAGGGGTCATGGGGTGGGGAGGCATCCAGATGCTGGGGCCATGAATTTCCAGGAAGGGCCAGGACATCTGGGCACAGGATGGGAATTATATAATCCATGTAGGGGAGGCTGGGTGGCTTCCCTGATGGTCTTCTCTACCCCACCCCCTACTATGTTTCCCTGACAGCGTATGGTCAAGAACTTGGAAAAGGAGCTAGCACTTCTCAAGCAGGAGCTGGCCATCCATGACAGCCTGGTAAGGGGCTAGAGGCAGGGGCTGGGGAGAAGACATGATGCTGGAGGCAGGGGGAATCTAGGAGGGGTAGGGCCAGGAGTGCCAAGTGGGCAGGAAGACTAGGTGTGAAAACAGCAAGGAGGTCAAAGCAAGGATGCTGGATGAGAGGAGGAAAAGGTGGGCATGGGGACTGGGTGGGTAAAGGGGCCAGGTAGCTAGGGGGCTAAGTAGCCATGGATACTGGGGGAAAAGAGGCAGGGAGGCATAAGGGCCAAGTGGGAAGGGTGAGCAAGAATACTGGGGAGACAGAGGCCAGGGAAGCTGAGGGATGCTAGGTGAGCTGGGGTACTGGGAGAGCACAGGGGTGATGCTAAGGGCAGAAGCAGAGGTAGGCAGGCAGAGGCCTGATGATTATGGGTACTGGAGGCAGAGGGCATGGTGGCCCAGATCAGGAGATGTGAGGCAGGCTAGGGATGGGAGAGGTAGTAATGGAAGAGGGAGGAGGGGAAGCAGCAGCAGGGCATCATAAGGCAGGGGGTGAGGCAGTGGTTCTCTGGTGGCCTGCCTAGGCTGGTCCTGATGGGGCTTGCCAAAGTGGCAGGGAGGCTACATCTTTTGACTTCCTCTAACCCCACAAGAGGAAGACAGAATCACCATCAGTAACCCAAGGCCTATTCCTGCGAGGCAAGACATGCTGCCTCCCTCCAGCCCTTTCACCAACCCTGACACCAACCATTCCTCCTGCAGTACCCACCACCTCTCTGCTAGGTTCCATAACTCGCTGCAGTGGCCACACAGAACTCACAGATTATGGGGTTTATTAGGGAAGCAATAGCCTATAATTCAAGTTCAGGAACATGCTCGGTCTCTCTCAGCCCACTGTCTCTCAGCCAACAGTCTCTCTCAGTCTCTCTTCCAGCAGTGCATGTCTCTCAGTGTCTCTCTCAGCAATGCATGTCTCTCATCTCTCTCTCTCAGCAGTGCATGTCTCTTGCATCTCTCTCTCAGCAAGTGCATGTCTCTCAGGAACACATCTTTCTCAGCCAGAAGTCAGAGAGAGATTCCTCCTGTCTCTAGAAGGCCTTCTTTTGAGCCTAGCAGAGTGTGCAAACTAACCAGTCCCAACATCAGAATTCTATACACCTGAGGGAGGGCAAACTTTCCAGAAGATTGCTTGATACTGGTTCAACAAAAATACTCCAGGTGGAACTTTAACAATCAGTTGTTCACATCAAATTCCACCACAGAGTTTACAAGGACTTATGGCTAGAAAAGCCATATTATGTAATTTACTACACCGCAGGGTCAGGGCACCCTCTGTGGCCCTCATTGTGCAGAGACTCAGCCAGCAGAGCCCCCTTGCCTGGAGCAGCAGGCCCCAGTTCTGGTGGCCTGTCCTTCACTTCCCCACCCTACTGCCCTTCTCTCACCTGAGCACCTGACCCATGTGTCAGGCTCTCTACACCAGGACAAGATGGTGAAGGTAGTGGAGCTGGCTTGGGTGGCCAGGGCCTGTGCCCAGCCTCCCTGCCTCAGAATGGCCTCTGCTGCTCCTGCTTCGATTACCTCTTTGGAGTTCATTTACATGCTTTGCATCCTTCTCTAAGGCTAACCGCACCCTTGTGACCTACGACCCCATGGATGAAATCCAGATTGCAGAGATCAACTCCCAGGTTCGGAGGTACCTGGAGGGAACATTGGATGAGATTGATGTAAGGAGCCCTTTCACGGGAGTGCCAGGCCCAGGCCTTCCTGTCCTGGGTACACCTTTGTAACCTCTCACTGAGTGGGTGCAGTGGGTGGGAGGGCAGTGCTGGACACTGGCATCAGGCCCTTCAGCCCACTATGGCCTCAGCTTCCATGTTTAGGGTTACACAAAAATGTTGGTGCTGCATATAGTTGCCAACAGCCTTGAATACGTGTATGAGAGGTGGCCCGTCCCAGAGGTCACAGGCATGGGCCCTGGAACCAGCCTGCTGGAATCATATCCCAGCTCAGTTGCCCCTTGGGTCAACTCGGCAAATGGCTGAATTCATGTACCTCACATTCCTTACCTGTGCAGTGGGGAGGGAAACTGAGCTGGGATTAGCTGAGATGCAGCACCTCAAAGTGAGGCCATAAAGGATGGTCCTCATGCTGGTTGTCTACAAGGCAGACTCCCCAGGGCCCATGTTGGAGTGGGTCAAAGGGGAGACAGCGACCACACAAGGAGGGGTCCTCAAGAGAAGAGATATATCCTGTTTTTACAGTGTAGCCATCAAACCCCTCATCAGAGAGACAACATGGGCAGATCCCCTAACCTGTTATTGTGGGTGGGCTATAAGAGGCGGGCCTGAGAACACCTGAGGGGCAGACTCTTCTGGCCTCCCAGCATGGGCAACTCCAGACTGTGCTTGATCAGGAGTAATGCTGTCAGGATTTTAGAGCCAGGAGGGAGGCTGATGACCTTTCTCCAGCCGCAGGTGTTTGTGTGTCTGTGCCCACTGAAAAAGATTTGCAAATGGGCTCAGTCTGAAGATAGCAAGTAGAATCTTTTGGAAGCAAGAGAGAACTGAAAACAAACTTGAGTAAATTTTTTTTCTTAGGAAGTATTTTCAAGAACTATTGAGTCTTTTTCATTTTATAGAGAGCTCCACATAGAAAAGGTGATTTTTATAGCCTTTATATATGTAGGCTCAAAACCCTAATCAGGTGTTTCTCTGTTCTTGAGGAGGCTTTGACTGCCACTTTGCTGAGAGGCTATTTGCACACATCCCATTCTCAAGGCAGATGGTCTAGAGCTCAGCCAAGAGATCCTGGCTTCTTTTCTAATATAGATGCAGCCTCGGTCCCATGATGCTCCTGTCTAACTTCTGCCTCTTCTCCCCTTAGATAATCAACCTCAGACAGATCCAGGAGGTGTTCAACCAGTTCCGTGTGGTGCTGAGGTGAGGGACCACCCCCTTCTTACCCCACTCCTGTATCAGGCTACTATTTTTATTTGCCATTGGCTGTCCGGGCACCTGCCCCAAGTGAATCCCCTCCTGCTGTCTTTCATATGTGGAGCCAGACCAGAGTCCTTGTGATGTGCCTACATCCCTGGTGTCCCTGCCAGAGTCTGCTATTGACCTGTCAGATCCTCTTGGCCTTCACTTCCCATGGAGGAAGTGGGGAGGACAACCTTCCACTGGAGGGCCACTCAGAGATGGAGTGGTCTCTAGGGGATGTTTACTGAGTTTATTAGTTGGACCAAACCAAAAATCCAAACTCACTGCTGTTGAGTCGATTCTGACTCATAGTGACCCCATTGCATTTCCAAGGCTGTAAATCTTTATGGAAGCAGACTGCCTCATCTTTGTTCTATGGAGCAGCTAGTAGGTTTGAACCACTTACCTTTTGGTTAACACCCAAGTGTCTTAACCACTACACCACTAGAGCTCCTTCATTAGTTGGACAGGAGGTCTCTACAGAGTGCATGAATATACCCACCCTGCTCCCTGGGAGGCATTTGAGGTTTATTTGGATGCAGACACTTCTGTGGCCTGCATGGCTCTTGCTGGGTGGGGATGGTGCTACAGAAATTGGCCACATGATTCCAAGGGTCTTATTAGAGACAGAACCTAAGTGAGGGAGCATGGTCAGGTATATGGTCCTTGTTAAATGTCATCTCAGAGCAGTTGCGCCTGGCACATACGGGTGGCCCTGCAGATCTGTGGGCTGGATAATGGGTATGTGTATTGGAATGCGGAGTAGAGATGAGTTCATTTTGTCTGTTTTGTCTGGCCTGGTGGTTCCATCACAAGGGGCATCACCTAAATGATTTCTAACCTTGGTACTTGGCTCTAGCCCCAGGTGCGAGGTGTTTTACCACTTTCTCTCCCAAGCCAACAGGAACAGGAAGTGGAGTCCACTTTGCGCAGGAAGTACACACTCATAGACAAGAATGACTTTGCAGCCATTTCTGCTGTTCAGAAGGTAAGCACAGGTTGCCTCTTGCCTAAAGCACTCTCCTCCCAGACCATTCCAGAAGCAGCAAGTGTCCTACATTAAAGCAGATTTAGAGTTGTAACAGATATCAGTAATACCAGGATGAGCATTATTCTTGCAAAAGTAATCTGCATAGAAATAGAAAATGATTTTAATAAATTAGAGACATAGCTAATAATAAACAAGACCGATTCTAGAGTTGAATTAGAAACAGGCCTTAAGATCCTTGAGGCATGGAATGAGGTGCCAGACTGGGGAGGGAGATTGAAGTGGAAAGTGGACATTTGTCAGGGTGGTCAGGGATAGTTTCCAGGGACAGCCTGAAGCTGGCAGCAGTAGCCACATCTTGGTGTATTGGACAAACATGCTTACCCCAAGCCTTTGGCTACAAACACTGAGGTGGGGTGTGGGAAGACCCCCAGGGGGCTCAAACACTTACTCTAATCCATGATCCTGGGCTGGCCTCTCCATCCAGGCAGGGCTCATAGATGTTGATGGCCACCTTGTGGGTGAATCTGATGGACAGAGTTTTGGGCTGGGAATCGCCCCTTTCTCTTCCAAGCCTGGGAAGAAATCCAAGTCCAGGAAGGCATTCAAAGAGCCACCCAGGTGAGTGACCTTCTTGCTCTCCTTGCTCAGTGCCTGGTCCTTCTGGAAGGGAAGACATGAACACATCAATTGTCCCTTGTTGTCTCAGCCTCTGAGTGGTCATGGTGGACATCACTGCTACCAATTCTAGCAATGTTTGTGGGGCCCTGAGTGGGGCTGGTTTTGAACTAGCTGTAGCACAGGTGTCACCTTCATCTTCATAGCAACCCCAGGAGGTGGGAATGATGATTTGGTCATACTGATGGGGAAAGCAAGGTCTAGAAAGGACAAGTTACCTCCCCAGGTCACACCGCTGATGAACGGTAGAGTTTCAGTGAGCAGCTGGGGTGGCACTCCAGAATTCTGCCCTCTGATACAGTATGTGATCCCTCTTCACTCACCCCTTCATCATGGTCCTTTTGTGAGCCAGATGACTGGCCCTTACACCACCTAAAAACCCAAACTCATCTTTCACACAGAACTTGTTTGTATCAAGGTGAAAAGAGTGTCCAGGGTCACTTAATGACACCCCCCCAGAGGTGCTATGAAACAGTGGCTGAGAGGACAGGCTCTGGAGCTGATGCCCAAGCTCATCTCTCTGCACTTCTTATGCCTAAGGTTCAGCTTCGGTGATGCATGAGAGCCCTTCTGTATCTCTTGTTTCCTTGCCTCTAAAATGGCAATAATAGTAGTAACAGCATCAGAGTTATGGGGGTTGTTGTGAGGTTGAACGAGTGAATGCAGTCCTTGCACAAAGAAAGTTCTCAATAGAAATTCACTGTCACTTGGTCTGACAGAGCCTGGGTGAAACCCCTTAAGACTATGGCTCCTAGCTGCCCTTCAGGTCTAGAACTGAACCCACTTCCATGGCTTCCAGCCAAACAAAAGACAGGCATATGAGCTGAACATTTACACTACATAGATACACTCCTTGGAGAGATCAATCATGGGAGAATAGAAGGGCTATGTATGCACAGGGAGACAGCTCGGGAGGCAGAAGTGCATGGGAGAGGACACAGGGAAGAGGTGGCTATGGGGAGGAGTGGGAGGGGAGCTGTTGCATTATGGGAAATTACAGTCAATGTCATGAGATAAAGTGTATATGAGCTTCTGTATGGAAAGTGAATTTGCTCTGTAAACTTCCACCCAAATCACAATAAAAATTGAAAAAAAAGAACAATACTACACTGAAAAAAAAAAGAAATGCATTGTTACTGTAATTATTACCTGTAAAGAGGCTGAAGCTGGTTGTAGAAAACTGTTACATACAGGACAGGAATTCAGTAGTAGGGGCTTTTGGATGTCCCTGGCCACCTCCTGCATCCTCAGGAAGGGCAATCACACCCCCGCTCTCTCTTGTGCTGCTGGGTAATCAGTGCAATACCAGAGGGTGGAGGCTTGGTCCTGCAAGCCACACACCTGTTACAAGAAGAGAAGGAAAGAGAGGAGACAGCTGTGGGCATCCCCCTGTCAGCTCAATCCTGTGCAGATGTGCCTCTCCTGGGGGGAGGGTGACAGCTGCTTTCCTGGGAGCATGTGTGAGCACTGAGTTAGGTGGGGAGAACAGGGTGTGGACTGGTTGGGCAGCAGCATAGACTTTTCCTGCTTGCCCACAGCCAAACCCACCCTGGGAAGGCACTCTGCCTTCCTTCCATAGGACGCCTGTGTGACATGGGGCTCCTGAAAACCTGTGGTCCACCACACAGGTCACAGGCTTTCCAGTGCTAGAGATTGTGCCCATTCTTCCCACATGTCTTCTGCTGAGATTGCTGAGTAGAAGACTCCTCATTCTGATAAAAGGGAGAAAAGTGCTCCCTACTGCTGATAAACTCTCCATGGCTTAGGGTCATACTCTTTGCCCTTTGAGCTAGGTATGATCAAGGCAGGAGCTGAAATCCCTCAAATTATAGCACTGAGATATCTTTAAACCTTAAACCAAAAATATCCCCTGAAGTCTTCTTGAAACCCAACAGTAGTTTAACGTAACTAGTAAAGAATGCCTGCCTTGAACATTGTGCTCTTTTAAGATTATATAGGATCAAAGTGACAACAGCAAGTCAAAAGATTAGTTAGGATATTTGGGGGGTAGTGAGTTTATGTGAATGGGGGAAGAACAACTTAGAAAAGGCTTGTGAGAATAGCTGCACAACTTGAAGAATATAATCAGTGTCACTGAATTATACATGTAGAAACTGTTGAATTGGTGTATGTTCTATGTATATTCTCAATAACAGCAAAAATAAAATTATATATCTATATATATAAGATAGGGGATATATATATCTTCTATATATATAAGATAGGACTCTGGTGGCATAGTGCCTAAGGCATTTGATTGCTAACCAGAAGGCTGGCGGTTCAAACCCACCAGCCACTCCTTGGAAAGAAGGTTGGGCAATCTACTTCTGTACAGATACTGCCTTGGAAACCCAAGGAGGGGTCGCTAGAATTCAGAAAAGGATTCAATGACAGTGAGTGAGTTTTATATATATATAAAATAGGAGCTGAGGTAGTGTGGATTCCTGGTGTGGACTGAGAAAGGTCACTCCTCCATGTCATCTGAGATTTCTCACTACCCATGGCTGGGCCCTGGGGCTTCCTTACTTTCTCCTTCCAGTACCTCATCAAGAAAAGAAGGTGCAAGCAGCCCTGGGAGCGTCAAGGACTTGGAAACAATTTCCATCTCCAGGACCCAACTGGTCACATCCACCAAAGATGGGGAGGCGAAAGACATGCTTCTACGTGACCGGGAGACCTCCAGCATTGAACCACTCCCTTCGGACTCCCCAAAAGAGGATTTACGCCCACCCAGGTGACCATCTAACATTAGCTCCTGCACTAGATCAGCCAAAACCAGAGCATGATCCTCAACATGTAAAAAGTGCCTGCAGAGGGATAAGAAATAAAATAAGGGTAAGGGGCAAAGGCAGTTCCAACCCACCAGCTGCTCCATAGGAAAAAGATTAGGCATCTGCTTCCATAAAGATGATAGCCTTGGGAGCCCTATGGGGCAGTTCTACTCTGTCCTATAGAGTCACTATGAGTCAGAATCAACTTGATGGCAGTGAGGAGGTGAGGAAGGGGCAAAGACTGGAAGCATGATCCAAAAAGAAGAACCATAATGGGACTCGATGGCAAACAACAATAACAACAACACAATGGGTTTTAGTCATACAAAAGGGTCCAACCTCAGGTGTTATCAAAGATACATAATTAAACATGGAATCATTTTAGGCACTCCAAATAGCAAAGATTTGAATAATTAACTTTACGTATTTTAAAATAAGTAATGCATTCAAAACATACATAATTCTCAAGGTGTGAAAGGGTACAAATCTTTCTTCTTTGCTGCACCCCCAACCCCTACTGCTTTTTCCAGCCACCCAGTTCTTCTCCCTGGTGAGTCATAATTCATTATGTAGGATTCTATCTCAAGGAAATAATTAGAGATATGAACAAAGATGTATGCAAAAAGATGTTCATTGCATCATTAATTATAAAAACAAAACAATTTCTTTAAAACATCCTCAATATCCAACATTAGGGAAATGATTAAGTGAATTATTATCTCTGCCCTTGGAATGTATAGGATGTGCATGATTTTTTTCCCCAGCCTGTGAACATTTCCAAACATTAAAGAAGTTGAAAGAATTATACAGTAAACAGGCATATACTAAGCATCCCCTTGATTCTGTGCTTAACATATTAGTTTAAGTTTAGTTTTGGGAGTCCCTAACTTGTACAAACAAGCCAAAAAGTTGGTGAGTTGAGGCCACCCAGGGGCATCTTAGAAGAAAGGCCTGGCAATCTGCCTCTGAAAAATCAGCCATTGAAAACCTTGTGGACCTGCTGACTCAGGACCATAGTACTGGGGGACACTAGGCTCAACTGGCACAATAATACATAAAAATCTTGTTCCACAACCTATTTTGGTGAGTAGCGACTAGGGTCTTAAAAGCTCTTGAGTGGCCATCTAAGATGCAGCTCATGGTCTCCTCTCATCTGAATCAGCGAAGAAGGGTGAAGAAAAAATCAAGGGCATTTGGAAACAGTTAGTCCAAAAATATGATGGGACTTGAGACCAGAAGAACTAGATGGTGCCCAGCTACCAATGCCAACCACTCGGGAAAGGATCAAAACTGGAGATCCTGGATAGAGTGGGAGGAAAAACGTGGAACAAAATTCAAAAACACAATAATGACTAGAATTACCGGTTGGATGGTGGGAATTACTGGTGGGAACCCCAAGATACAGCCCTGACATACCCTTCCCTGACATACCCTTCAGGCCTGGGATAGGACTCACTCCCAAGGACTGGCTCTTTCCTCAATGTAGAAAGACTTACATGCAGAACACCCAACCCAGATACACCATAGAGCAATTGGCCATGGGGCACCAGAGGGGCAGCATTCACATGGGAAAGCTGGACAGACGGGAGTACATAGTTAAGAAGAGCATAGGGGGTGGGGGGGAGTCACAGGGAAGGAAAGGAAGAGTGGGTTAGGCTTGGGTACGTAATTGGGGAGTGAAACCAAATGTATATGAACTGTTGAATATGTAAAACAAATTCTGCTCTGTAAATTTGCATCCAACCCACAATTAAAAAAAAGGAGGGGGCACGCACACAAAAAGAAAACCCCATGGAGCAGTTTACTGTCACACACGTGTGGCTGCCATGAATTGGAGTTGGCATCTAATTTTATACTTGCTTCATCATATGTCTATCTTCCTCTCCATCTATCCATGTTATTTTTTTGGATCCATGCATCTTATTTAACATTTCAGAATAAGTTGCAGATATCAACCTACTTTCCCCCCACCTCTGCCCCAATGCTTCATTCTACATCTCATTAATCAGCATTTTCAAAGAGTTTTTAATAGCATTAAAGAATCTTTCCATGTAAAAAGTAAAAACAAAATTATATATCCTGCATGACCTCAGCCATTTAAAAATATATTGAAGAGTTCCTGGAAGGAGACATCCCAAAGTGTGATTGAAAATAGATAATGTTTTATTTTCTGTTCCTTACACTTTTCCTGCTTTCCTCATTTTCTGCAGTGGGCATGCTTCCCTTTGTAGGCTGAGTAAAATACAGATAAGGAAATGATTCCTAAACAGTTTAGTTCCCATCTGGGTATGGGGTAGAGGATGCCCAGGACTCCTGGCCTGCTGTGCACAGAAGCCCCAGAGAAGAAAGGTGAAGTGGCCCATGGCTCCAAGGCAGTCAGTCCATCTCTCCTTCTTCCTTGGTCTCCCCCTCCATCTCTAGGCCCAGTACCCCGCCCTCCAAGCCCATGGCCTTTGAGGAGTTTAAGAATGAGCGAGGTAGTGAGATTAACCGCATTTTCAAAGAAAACAAATCCATCCTAAATGAAAGGAGGAGAAGGGCCAGCGAGACAACCCAACGCATCAACACCATCAAGAGGGAGATTGATGTGACGAAGGAGGTGCTAAATTTCCAGAAGTCACTACGAGAGAAGCAAGGTAAATGTGATGGGAGGATGGCGAGCGATCTATAGGATATCAGAGTCATCCTCCAAATGGGGCAGCCTTGGGCACTGGGGACCAAGGTGGGGAGGGGGTGAGCAGGCAATGAGGTGGAGCCTTCACCCATGGTTGTCATCCCATTTGGTTCTGGTACAGCCCTGGAGAGCCACAGAGTCCATCTCCATCAGCCAGCCAGCCTCTGCCTGTAGAGGTACTCCATTATCTCAGACCTAGGTGCTCCTGTCTATGGAGACACAAGCCCTTGGTCATGCAGAGATTTTTCCAGGGAGATGGGTAGCTGGTGACCCCCACATGGTCCCAGGGAAATTACCTATGCCTGGGTCCTGGTGTGGTCTCCTTGGTGCCCATGGTGGTTAGATTGGGGTGAGGTGCTGGTCAGGACCCTGAGAGCTGGAGGAGGGAAATGAGAAACCAGACAGCTGAGGAACTGTCTGTCACTAAATCTCTCCCATATGCTGAACCCCTGACACCTTTGTTGAACTGGCAAGGTCTCCTGTCCTAGTGCAGGTGGTATGAGGGCTGGCAAGGCTCAGAAAGCAGGGACCCCTGATTGGGGAGCTCAACTGATTCTTCTTATCACAGTTGCAGGCGCTGACCATGCCTGTACTGTGGGCCAAGGACTCTCCAGTTTGAGCATGCAGAGGATTCGTTTGGGAGGGCTGGTCAAGGGCAGACTCCTAGACCTGACCAGTGGTTCGGACTGAGAGAACTGAAGCAGGATCCAGAATCTGCTTTAATGAGTGACTGTTTGACTCTGAGGCAGAACCAGAGGCCACACTCTCATTCCAATTCTTGACTCAGTACCGTTATCTTTTTCCAAACAAACACACCACAAGTTACTAGGCTTTTCTTGCTAAATCACAAGCATGTTCCAGGCCAGCTTTCATGAGCATACTCACTGGTCCCCTGGGGTATCGCCAGATCTAACTTGGTTTATTCCTGCAGATCAGATGCATCATGTAACTCACAGGGAGAAAATTTTACTCATTTATTTCTCAGAGGGCAATCTTATTTCCAAATTCTTGGGGCCAACCTGCTCACACCCTACAGACCACCCATGACACACTATTCCAGATGGCAAGGTCCTCCAGAGGGTGTGGGAAACTGCAGAAGGCTTGTGATGGAGGCTTCAGTTAGACTTCTACCTGGAACCTCCAGGAGGGGGACACAGTGAAGGTCTTACAGGACCACTAAGCACTTTTTGTCTCCTCTGCCCACAGCCTCCTGAACATGCAAACGCTTATTACATGTTTACATATTTAAACTGATACACATGCACTGCTTTGCTGACATCTCACTCACTCCTAAATATACCCCAAAATGGGAAGTTTCAAAGGATGAGATGAAGAGGAAATAAGGAATACTTTTTAAATTTTAAATACTTGTACTAAAAAATATTTTTGCTCTTTTCTCTCAAAGGCACTGGTTGTTTAAATCCTATCTTTGTCTAGAGGGGACAGATTAAGTAAATTCATTTTTTGAAGTAACTACCAAGTACTTTATGACTGACAGCCAGTTGTAGGCCCACAAAGGTCAGGAAATTTGAAATACTAGTCTTTTGTAAAAGAAAAATGCAACATCACCTTGAAGTTCAACTGTCTGAAGTTTTTCTCTTGGAGATGATCAAAGAACCTCTGGGTAGTACAAAAGATGTTTCCAGTCACTCCCCATCGCAAAACAGAGCAAAGCTCTGCTCTGTAAAGGATTTGTGCTTATCAAAGTAACCACATCAGGGATGTCCCAGAGCACACAAATAACAGCAGGTTGCTCACGTGGAAGGTGAAGGACCTAGTAAGGGAGACTTTTTACCCCCAATCCCAGATGGGGGTCCTGACCCCTTCATGGCATCAGTGACACTTAATGTACCTTCCTTTTCCCAATAAACATCAGTGGAAGGGCTAACATTTTCCTTTGGTCCTAGGGGCTGCCTTGTGCACATACCTCAGGTCACACTCAGGACTCACTCATTGTGAGCCCTGGGCACTGGGAGCCCCCCACTGGTGGGGGGTGATAGATGTGATGTCTTTGCTGAGCTTTCAGGGTGCTATGGATAGTAGATAACTGGTTGAGTGGCTCTGAAGACTCTGTTCAAGAGTCTCAACCAAGCAGCCCTTGCCAAACTGACAAACCTTAGAAATGTCCCTGCAAAGATATCATGGGTGGAGGAGATGGAAAATTGTACAACTGACCCTCCCCTCACCTAGAGTGCTCTGATGGACACTCAACATGGTAAAGATGTCTGATCTTCTAACAAAAAAGTAGCTGATAAATGTTGGAATCATCAAGAAGGTAATTTGAAATGTGGATTTACATCCACTCTGGTAGCATAGTGGCTAAAGCACTTGACTGCTAACCAGAAGGCTGGCGGTTCAAACCCACCAGCCACTCCTCGGAAGGAAGGTTGGGCAATCCTACTTCCGTAGTGATACTGCCTCGGAAACCCAAGGAGGGGTCGCTATGAGTCGGGGCCGACTTGACAGCACATAACAACAACAACAACAACAACATCATCATTAATAGTGAACCTTGCCCTAAGTACCTGGTGGTATTAGCCAGTCATGCCAATTCATGTATATAATTTATAAAAACAAAGTAAGCCTTCATATAATAGGACTGCTTGCTGTGTATCTTTGACTCATAGGGTATGCCATGGGATATCATGCTTGGTAAACTAGAGGTCAGGGAATAAAGGGAATAAAGGGAAAACCCTCAACGAGATGGATTGACATAGTGGCTACAACAACGGGCTCAAGCATAGCAACAATTGTGAGGATGGTGCAGGCCTGGGCAGTGTTTTGTTCTGTTGTACATGGGGTTGCTGTGAGTCAGAGTCAACTTCATAGCACCTAAAAACCAAAGTATGTGCCAACTTAGCTGGGCCATGATTCTCAGTGGTTTGGCAGTTATATAATGATGTAATCATCTCCCATAATGTGATGAGATATCATCATTGAATCAGTTGTAAGGGGATTAGTGTGGGATGCAGTACCCTTACTCAGGTCATAGCCCTGATCTGATGTAAGGGGAGTTTCCCTGGGATGTTGCTTGCATCACCTTTTATCTTATAAGAGATAAAAGGAGAGAGAAGCAAGCAAAGGAGGGACCTCAGTACATCAAGGAAGAAGAGCTGGTAGCAAAGCTTGTCTTTTGGACTTGGGTCCTTCTAGATCCAAGGGAAGATTGGTGCCAAGACACATGGAGACAAGGCTCTTTCCCTAGAACTAACAAAGAGAGAAAGCCTTCCCCTAGTGTCAGTGTGCTAAATTCGGACTTCTAGCCTCCTAAATGGTGGGAGATCACATGATAGAATTTTGCAAGACCAATGACTTATTCATTGCAAATACCTTTTTACAACAACACAAACAGCGGCTACACCCGTGGACTTCGCCAGACGGAGTACACAGGAATCACAGTGACTATTTCTGTGGCAAGAGGTGATGGGGAAGCTCAGTATCTTCAGCCAAAACAAGGCCAGGAGTTGATTGTGGAACAGACCATCAACTGCTTATATGCAAGTTCAAGTTGAAGCTGAAGACAATTAAAAGAAGATGATGAGAGCCAAAATATGATCTTCATTATATCCCTCCTGAATTTAGAGACAACTTACAGAATAAATTTGATGCATTGAACACCAGTGGCTGAAAACCAGAGGAATTGTGGGATGACATCAAGAACATCATCCATGAGGAAAGTAGGTCATTAAAAAGACATGAAAGGAAGAAAAGACCAAAATGGATGTCAGAAGAGACTCTGAAACTTGCCCTTGAACGGAGAGTAGCTAAAGTAAATGGAAGAATCAACAGGACAAAAGAGCTGAATAGAAGATTTCAAAGAGCAGCTCGAGAAGACAAAGTCAGTTATTATAATGAAATGTGCAAAGACCTGGAGTTAGAACACCAAAAGGGAAGAACATGCTCAGCATTTCTCAAGCTGAAAGAATGAGGAAAAAATTTAAGACTCAAATTGCAATACTGGAAGTATTAGCTTGAGAGCTAATGTAAATTGTTCTGGGTGTTTGACTTGCTTCGTGGCTTCAATTTGTAATGGAAATGTCTACCCCTTTGTGTGTTCCACCATTGTACTTTGGAAGCAGATAATTTATATTCTAGATTTACAGCTGAAGAAGAATTTTGTCCCAGGATGGAATTTGGATTTTAATTTAATTTAAATTTGATTTAAGGTTTTTGGGATGATATGGTAGGATGAAAGTGTTTCACATGTGGCAAGGCATGGATTTTTGGGGTCCAAAGGGTAGAGTGTCATGGATTGAACTGTGTTCCCCCAAAATATGTGTCAGCTTTACTGGGCCATGATTCTCAATGATTTGACAGTCATATAATGATGTAATCATCCCCCATGATGTGACCAGTCAATCAGTTCTAAGAGGATTAGAGGGGGATGCAATACCCTTACTCAGCTCACAGCCCTGATCTAATGTTAGGTGAGTTTACTTGGGGGTGTGGCCTGCTTCTCTTTTTATCTTACAAGAGATACAAGGAGATTGGAGAAAACAATCATGGGAGAAAGAAGGGCTGTTTATGCACAAGGAGACAGCTCAGGTGAGGAGCGCATGGAGGGATGGACACAGGGAAGAGGTAACTATCAGGAGGAAGTGGGAGAGGAGGTGTTGCATTGGGGTAAACTGTCAATGTCATGAGACAACGTGTGTGTGAACTGCTGTATGGAAAGTGAATTTGTTCTGTAAACTTTCACCCAAATCATAATTTTAAAAAAAAGGGAAAAGAAAAGAAAAAAAAAAAAAGAGAGAGAGAGAGAGAGAGATACAAGGAGAGAAGCAAGCAAAGGAAGTACCTCAGTACCACCAAGAAAGAAGACCTGGGGTGGAACACATCCTTTGGACCCAGGGTCCCTGGGCTGAGAACCTCTTAAACCCAAGGGAAGAATGATGCCAAGCACACGGAGATCTCCAAGGAATACCGGGCTCACAGATGTTGAGAGGAGACATGGACCTTCCACCAGAACCAACCTTCCCTTAGTGTCACCATGCTAAATTTGGACTTTTAGTCTCCTAAACCGTGAAAGAATAAATTTCAGTTTGTTAAAACCATGCACTTGTGGTATTTCTGTTATTGCAGCACTAGATAACTAAAACAAGGTGCAAGGTCAAAAAAGTGTGGAGAATGGGCCATCTCTACCCTTCCCTCTACCCTATTTATCCTAAAATTCCAATGTGAGCCCACTGATCTGAGACACCCCCCACACCATCGACTTGTGAGACATATTCTGGCTGCCTGGCTTCCCTTCATGCTATGCCCACCTCCATGCCATGCTCAGCCCTTCCTCTGGGCTCCTTTCTTTGGGCTTTGCCAGCACTGTTCCCTCTTTCCTGAATGTCTTTCTTCACCCACCCCAGGGAAATGCCTCCTCACTCCCTGATGTACTCTCTCCTCCTACAGGTGAGTACGAGAACAAGGGGCTGATGATCATTGACGAGGAGGAATTCCTACAGATCCTGAAGCTCAAAGACCTCAAGAAGCAGTATCGCAGCGAGTACCAGGACCTGCGTGACCTCAGGGCTGAGATCCAGTACTGCCAGCGCTTGGTGGATCAGTGTCGCCACCGCCTGCTCACAGGTATGCCAGCTGGGAAAGATAGCTGACCACCTGAGGTCCATGGAGGCACAGGGCAGGGCTATAGCCCAGGTATTTTGGAAGGCTTTGGAGCCTCCCTCTGGCAGAAACGGGCCAGGCACAGGCTTCAGATGTGTGATTTCTAGGACTGTGGGAACTGAAGACAGAGATGGTAACAGGTTGAGACTCTCAGACAGCAGGTGAATAAGGTTGATTCTGGGACAGGCACAAGGGAGACAAGCACACACAGCATTTACCAGCTTCCTCAGGGGCTTCCCTATGGTGCTTTCTCCCTGTCTCCTTACAGAATTCGACATCTGGTACAACGAGTCCTTTGTCATCCCCGAGGATATGCAGGTGGCATTGAAGCCATGCAGCAGCATCCGACCAGGGATGGTGCCTGTCAACAGAATTGTATCTTTGGTGAGTGTCACAAGGTCAGAGAGGCAAGGGTGATGGATGAGCACAGGGCAGGGAACAATGCCCCTCATCCTTTGTACTTTCCATGAACATAGTATTCATCATGTGCTCTTAGCCTCTCCCAGGGCTGGCCTAGGCAGGTGTGCAGGTACAGGCCTTTCCCCAAGTATCAAGCAGTGGGGGCAAACAATACTCTTCCTGCTGCCATCCTTCTGGAGTAGCTCATTCTACCCAGGTGGCAGTGACAGGGTATCTGTGGGGATGGGCAAACATAAGGGATTATGAGCTGCCCTGGTGGGTTGCAAACCTGGTAAGGGGTGAGTCCTGACTACATCAGGCTGAAGGTTGGTGTGGGCCTCCCTAGGGAGAAGATGACCAGGATAGATTCAGCCAGCTGCAGCAGACAGTGCTACCTGAGGGCCCAGACTCCATTTCCTTCTACAATGCCAAAGTCAAGACAGAACAGAAGGTAACTCAAGAGGTCCATGTCTCCAGGAGGACAGGGGCCTCAGAGATTTAATTACCAGACACCCAGGGTCACATGCCCTACTTTTGGGTGTGTGTGTGGGGGAGGAATGGTACCAGTGCAGAGAGAGCTAGATTCACCCATAGTCTCTTCACCCTCTGTCACCTCTAGAGTCCTGGGACTAGATTGGACCCAAAAAGGGCCCCTGGCACTCAGGGAGAACCTAGAAGTCTGCTCTAAAAAATATGGACAAGGAAGCAGGAATGGGGGTACGAGCAACAGCCCAGATACCAGGACCAACTGCCTTATCCATGAGCCCTGAGCCCATCATTCTCTACTTCCCCACTTTTTTTTTTTTTTTTTTCCCATTGTGATTTGGGTGAAAGTTTACAGAGCAAATTCACTTTCCATGCAGCAGTTCACGTACACTTTGTCACACGGCATTGACTACAATTTACCACAATGCAACAGCTCCCCTCCTGCCTCCTCCCATAGTTACCTCTTCCCTGTGTCCTTCCCTCCATGCACTCCTGGCCCCTGAGCTATGTTCCTGTGTATATATAGCTCTTCTATTCTCCCTTGATTGGAGTGTATCTACCTCTCCAAGGAGTGTATCTACCTAGTGTAAATGTTTGCCTCATATGACTGTCTTTTGTTTGGCTGGAAGCCACAGGCGTGGGTTAATTCCAGATCTGAACGGTAGCTAGGTGCCCTAGTCTCAGTGGTTCCATCAGGTTCTGTCAGACCAGCAAGCCTGGTACCTTTTTTTTTTTTTTCCCAAATGATTCTGAGTTTTGTTCCACAGTGTTCTCCCACTCTATCTAGGATCTCCTACATAGATCCCCCTTTGAGTGGCTGACAGTATCCACCACCAACTTTTAAAGACAGAGAGAAACCAGGACACCAAGTCTTGCCAATGGGACAAGAAATTCTTTGGGCTATATTGTGTCTCAACCACTTTCAAGGAGGGATTTCATGGAAGGCACAGGGCACATTCTGAGAAAGCCTCAGAATCAGGTGGGGTGGTCTACAGAACAGTTTCATGTGAGGTAGAATTAAGAGGAGTGAACATGCACAAAGACGAATGACAGGAGTGCTGACCTCGAGGGGGTAAGGGGCTGGAGTGGGTGTGGGATGCCTCAGGATGCCCTGGACATCACAGTCACATGGTCTAGAAAAAGAGTTATTTGGGAACAGCAAGGGAATAGCAAGCTTTGGACCTTTACACCTCATCCTTGCCCAAAACTGACCTTCATAATATCTTTCATACCTCTGTAAGCTTGACCATTAGTCTTTGATCGTCGTACAGACTGGCTCCTATTTCCCTCCAAGGCTTGGATATCTCCACAGGACAGTATGGGGCTGTGGCCCCTTTGCTTTCACCTGGACTTGCCTCCAGCTGTGAGGCCCACCACGACTTTTGAAACCTCACATCCCTGTGACCCTTGGTTGATGACTTCTGGCTGTGCTAACTTTTTTGCCTATTCTCTGAACTTCCTTTCCTATCACCTTCTCCAAGAGGATGAGTGAGATCACTTTTCTGAAGGCCTCTGGCTTGTCCTTTTTTAGGTTCTGGTGAACAGCAGCTGTCTCTATAGAATTGCCTTTTCTGGATATTCATGTGAATGGAATCATACCATATGTGACCTTTTGTGTCTAACTTCTTTCATTCACATAATATTTTCAAGTTCATGCATATATAGTAGCATGTTATCAGAACTTTATTCCTTTTTATGGCCAAATAATATTCTATTGTATGAATATACTACATTTTGTCCATCCATTTATCTGTTGATAGGGTTTTTACTACCTTTTGATATTATGAATAATCCTGCTATTAACATTTGAGTTCAAGTTTTTGTATAGACATATGTTTTTATTTGTCTTGAGTATATACCTAGGAGTGGAATAGCTGGGTCATATGGTAATTCTATGTTTATTTTTTTGAGGACCTGCCAAGCTATTTCCCATAGCAGCTGCACCATTTTACATTCCCACCAGCAATGCACAGGGTTAACACTTTATCCATATCCTTGCCAACACTTGTTATTTTCCTTTTTTAAATGATAACCATCCTAGTAGGTGTTGATGTGAGTTTTGAGGCTGAGCCACTGGTGTTTCAAACCCAGCAGGATGCACATGGTACACAGGTATCAGCCCAGCTTACAGACTGAGACAGACTAGGAAGAAGGAAGAGGCTGTCCACTTCTCAAAGAATTTGCCAGGGAAAACCTTACAAATAGCAAAGAAACACTGTTTGATACATTACCGTGCAACTTTATGAATAGTCCGGTTAGGTTAGAAGGCTCTCAAAATAGGACTGGGAAAGAGATACATCATCTGAGTAAACCCAGCTTTAGTCTTATGGATAAGGTAAAGCTTTTGAGACCTCCATTTGCTGATGTGGCACCACTCAAATTGAAGAAAAACAGCTGCAGACATCCATTAATCATTGGAAATGGAATATATGTATTATGAATCTAGGAAAATTGGAAGTTGTCAAAAATGAAATAGAATGCATAAAGATTGATATCCTCGGCATTAGTGAGCTGAAATGGGCTGTTTTTGGCCATTATGAATCAGACAACCATGTGATCTACTATGCCAGAAATGACAGTTTGAAGAGGAATGGCGTGGCATTCATCATCACAAAGGATATTTCAAGATCTGTCCTGAAGTACAATGCTGTCATTGACAGGATAATATCCATACGCCTACAAGGAAGACCCGTTAATACGACGATTATTCAAATTTATGCCTCAACCACCAAAGCCAAAGATGAGGAAACTGAAGATTTTATCAACTTCTACAGTCTGAAATTGGCCGAACATGCCATCAGGATGTGTTAATTATCACTGGTGACTGGATTGCAAAAGTTGGAAACCAAGAAGAATCACCGGTAGTTGGAAAATTTAGCCTTGGTGACAGAAATAATGCTGGAACTTGCATGGTAGAATTTTGCAAGACCAACGACTTGTTCATTGCAAACACCTTTTTTTCAACAACACAAA